TGCGCACTTGAACTGGGAGAGAGAAGAAAACTGGATTCAGTTGACCGCAATCTGTGATCTACTGACACCTAGTGGTGAGATTTTATACAGTGTGCCTTTAAGATAAGATAAAGTAAGATATCGCTGATCCACATAGTAGGTTCATCTACTTCTAACTTCTATGTGACTGAAAATGTATGCACATGAATACTTAATAATTTAAAGTGTAAAAAATGAAAGCTGGGTAAAAACAAACAAACAAACAAACAAAAAAACAAAATAAAACAAACAACATCTCTTGGTGTGTTTGCTTCCAGTCTACAAAGAGGAGTTTCCCTGTTGGTTTACACACTTAAAGAACAAGCAGGTGTGACTTCATGTGAAGCGACACTGCTGGGGCAGGTCTGGTGCAGGGCCACAATGATTCACCTTACATAATCTGGCTGAAATGATTAAATGTCTCCCACCACCTCTCCTGCTACACTCGTCATCTAATTCAGTGCACGTTTTAAAAGGATGACTCAGGTCCAGAGGAACTACACCCGTAGTCAAAATCTCCTTTCTAATCCTTCATTTGTGTGAGCAATTAGCAAATATGTTGTGCTGCTTTTCACTGCTTAAAACTGGCGAAAGCATTCAGACGTGCAGGACACCGAATATAACTGTATTCTTTCAGAGAAGTGAGGTTGTCAAGGAAGCAGAAACCATTACTCGCATCCCAGCAGGTGTATCAATATGAATCTACCGACCCGTTTCTCTGAAAGGAACCCAATTATTTTTTCCTTCCTTGGAAACAAATGTAGTGTAGATGGTGTAAATGATGCCCAGTGACAGTTCCTGTGTGCAGCATAACACTCGGGGTAGGCCAGTAATGACTGTAAGAGTTGATATCACTGAGATTTCAACTCTTAGACTTCATCTGCCTGTGTATTTCAGATAAAATTTCACAGATAGTGAACTCTACATATAATGGAAATGAGATGAGACTATAACGCTTTGTCTTGACCACGCTGGTACGTGCACAGACACACACACAGATTTCTTATGACGCAACCAGGATGAAAGATTCAGAAAAAAACATTATAAAAAGCCTAAGAAGATACATAAATGGTATTCTACCTTGAAACCAGCTTCCTTGAATCAGCCTGTGTAGTGCTTCACATGCACCATAAAAGCTATTACATAGTTCCTGGGAGATGACTGTTAATAAAAACCTGTTCTATTAAAAAGATGCACGTCAGAAAGGGTCAGACATCACGCCTTTAGTTGTTTCCTTAATGATTCATGAAAGCATACAGGGGGGTAGAAATATAAAGCTTGCTAATACGTTAATGCTCCCCGATGTCATCACCAACCACTGTTTTATGTTTCAATTCAAAAGCAACTGAAGCCAGGATGTTTTTCTTTGCCTCACATAT